CTCCTCCCGGGCAGGGAGCCCACTTCTGGTGGCTCTGTGGACTCACTCCTGCAGTGGGGAGGTGCTGACTCCGCAGGGATACAGATGGGGAAGCTGAGGACGAGAACATGTTCCAGCCTGTGGCTCACAGCTGAGCACCCCAAGGAGACACCACGGCCTGTCAAAATATCTGGGCTTAAGTCCACAGAGAGGTGGAGAAGTTTAGCCTCCAGCTTTCAGGGTAGATTTGCCACTTCTGAACTCTTTGTCAGAGAAGGCAAGGCCCAGACACTGTGGTGTCTGGGATGGTGACTGCAAAGTCAGAGAGCCTGACGGGAATCCACACTGGTCTCCTGCCTCGGAGTTACACATGCAGAGTTAAGAAGCCTATGCAGCAGTTTAGCGAGAGACAAAAGCATATTTTTTTTCCCCAAAAGCGTCCCTGTCTTTAAAAGAATAGATCAAGAATCTATCCCTTTTTATCTGCCCCTTTTGTAACAGCAGTTGTGGAACAAGTTGCCCATTTTCCAGCTGAATGCTCTGGCCACCAAGCTGTCAGCACAAGGGGGAAAGACGTTTTATTTCTCATTAGCTCTGTGAAGCCATGGCAAGAGATAGAAACAAACACCTGAGAAGACCTTGAGCAACCCAGGCCATGGTTTGGGGGGAGCACAGACACCACCTCCCCAGTGGAAACGGGAGCTCCTAGGGCACAGCAGATTCCTTCTGTATCCACTAAATTTGGTCTCAAGGTACTTATCACTGGGTGGAGGAGCACAACGTGGGAGGTGTAGGCATCAAAGCTGATAAACCCCATAGCATCTAAAATGACTGCAAGTGGAGGTCCTTACTTACCAAAGTGCAAAGGCAGTGCTCAACTAGGAGGCATACCCGTGCTTGCAAGGGCCAGCAAGCTGGTGGGCTAAGGCGAGCCGTTTAGTCCAGCCACTGCTGCACCACTGCAAACATTCCAGCAGCACCAAGACCATCAAAGTTTGGGTGGTAACAGCTTTTAGTGTCTCCCAGCAGACAAAGTCTTCCCATTTTTCTCTTGCTGTCACCTTCCAGGCAGAAATAAAGAAGAGATGAAGAAACAGGGCGGTTCAAGCACCATATAAAATCAAAACTAGAATAGGAAAAAAAGACAACAGTAGTCTTGAAAGTCTGATACAAGATAGAATGGCAGAGACCTGAGGAAATTTGGCCTAGGGAGAATTGCTGATCACCAGGCCTCTACTCCGCAAGAGGGGAGAAAAGAAAGTTTCACATTGAAACAAGGAACACAAAGGTCCTTGTTATGCGCAGTGAGGTAGGCCATCCCCACCACGTATCCTACCCTTCCTGCTCGCCTGGACACAGGAAGGATTACAGGAGGACAAAGTGGGATTCATTACCGCACAGCCAAGGAAAAGCAACCAGACACCCATGTTAAAGGTGGGCTCCTCCAGTTCTGCCCTTCCCATCCTGTTGGCCTTAGACCACAGGGCCTGTAGGGGTCTAAGCTCACTTTGTCCTCATGTTAAAACACAAACCTTGGGCCTTGTAACAAATCCCTGGTGGAGTCAGAAAGCAGGTGGCACAATGTTTGCATCCGATGTGCCCATGCTATTTACAGCAGTTTATGTAGCCTTTCTGTGCTCAGTTTTCCTAGGAAAACGACGAGGACTACTTGTAGCTATGGATTTCCTGTTAAGACTTCTCAAACAAGAACTGTTCAACAAGCACAGGATGTTGTGGCAAGCCCTATATACATTGAACTAATACCTGAGGAACTGCCAGTCCTCAAACTTGTGCACGTGCCACATTTTCCATTTTGGCTAATACGGACATCATTAACCTCCATATGTGAACAGAGGACACTGTGTCTTAACAGAGAGCTCACCAGTAGCCAAAGATCCGCTTCAGGCCCAGAGCAGTTGTTACAGAAGATCTGCTGAAAAGCAAGGCATCCATGCATTTATTACTTCAGTTCCCCCTGGAGTTAACTCTTCCCGCTTCCTAAATCTTGGACCATGGCTGTACATTATTGTATTCCTAAAAGAAAAGCAAAGTCCACTCCTGCTTTTTGACACCAGCGCAGCCCAGCTCAGTGGAGCCACTGGTGTGTGAGACCAGAACCGGGGCCTTTGTAGCACTGAAATAAAAATTTAGCACAGAAAGCTGAGGAAAAGTGTTGGCTTTTTGTAGCAGGGTGCAAAGGGCTTGCCTTTCATGACGCACCTTAAATGGCTACTAACAAGAACTAGGAAATGCAGTTTTGAGATCGCACAATCTGATAAAGTGAGAGGATTAAGGTGTCAATAGGGCTTTTTACAGACACAGGTACATCAAAACCAAACATGATACAAAGATAATGCAGTGAAGAAAGCATGGAACTGTCTTGATTAGAAGCTCCACTGCTGTAAATAAACAGAGAGGCACAGGCTTCAGGGCTTCTTTAGATTCACATAGCTGGAATTTCAAGAGCACCAAACCTGGAGCCCAAGTTACACTGCAGAACTTGTAGCTGGCTTCCTTTCGCTAAACTTACAGCTAACAAGGTTGAAATAATTCTTTGCACCAATAAAGCTGAAAGGAAAACAGGCCACAGGCATAGGGACGCGGGAACCCCTGGCCCCGCTCCCCTGGACTGCCAAGTCGCCTGCTCCCTATCCCCCAGCACATCAGCCTGCCCATCACCACACTGCCCAGAGCCAAGGTTCCTCGGGCAGGTTCCAACATGCCCCTCTACTCCTCAGCACCCTGGCCTAAGCAGTGAGTCTGCTGTGGTTTAAGCCCAGCTGGTAACTAAGAACCTCACAGCCACTCAGTCACTCAGGACAGAGGTCCCACTCCAGCTGCCTTCACCAGCTCTGCAGCCAACCTCACCCCACCTTACCTGCACTAATTGAGGCCCAGTGAATTGCCAAGGCTCTACTGAAAGCTAAATGACAACCAAGTTCTTCGCAGCAAGTTTTGAGATAAGCTTTATTTTAAAGGAGAACTCCCCCCCCAAAGTTATAGAGTGTTTACATTCAATCTATCTCCCACTCAAGTTTAAATATTCCTGTGGCACACACTCTCATAGCCAAGTGTTTCCTGTGTTGGCTGACATCACCTTACAACCTCAGGCTGCTTGCAGTCACTGCACAGCTATGAACACAAGTACTGAAGTCCATGGAACACACCTTCCAGCTCAAATCCTCCTGTGCTGCTGTGGGTTCAGCTTATTCGTTTTAGAACAGCAAAACGCTGTCCTTTCCAAAATGCTTTAGAACAGACTTTGACTATCTGGCATCTTCCAAATGAGCGGAATTTTAAAAGCAATTCCTGTCTTTTCATTTGGATTGGCAAAATCAGGCTGTATTTAGGTTCCTGAGCGTTTACTTAACATCTGTACATTTGACATCTTCGCTCTACTTGACGACACTGCCACAGGGCACAACTAGAACTGCTTTGGATCCAGCCAGCACAGGTTTTACCCATGAAGAGGCTTGTGAGCACAGGTGATCTCGCCATATACTCTGGCAGGAGGGGTACGCTTCTCTGCAAAGGTGTCTTAACAAAGGTACTCTTGCTTCTCTTCAGAAAACTTTGCTGAATTCTGTCTTTGCGAAGCTGCTTTTTCCGAGTACATTTTCCCTGGTAAGTATTTGCCAGTCTGAGGTAAAGCTTTTAGCCTCTCTGCCTTCTGGTGATTGGTTTTCACAAACCTTAGCAGGTTAACGATAGCAGCTGGTGTAATTCCAGGGATGCGGCTGAGTGCACCAATCTGCGTGTGGAAATAGGAACAAGTTAACCAAGAACAAACCTACACACTAGTGAAAAAAAAAAAGAAAAAGAGATTAAAACCTGTGGGTATTCCTTTCCCTGATTATTCTCACCCCCACATCCCTTCGGAAGACACAGAAGGGATTTCACTGCTGCTCAACCTTGCTGTGACCCAGTATCTTACCGTCTGGGGACGGTTAGAGTCCAGTTTTTCCCGCACCTCCAATGAAAGAGATGCATCAATGGCAAAATAATCTAGGTCCTCAGGCAGTTGGAGGGCTTCATCACGACGCACTTCTTCTATTTCCTGCTGCTGGTTTTCCACACACCACTCGTAAGCAGCTGTGATGGAAGACGAGGGAAACAAGACCAGATAGGGATGTTCATGTGAAACAGGTCACTTACAGGAATTCTTTGAAGCAGAATGAGCAAGTCCACTGAGACAGTCAAAAGCTCCTACTGAAGTTTCCAGCCGCACAGACTAAAGAGCCTAATTCATATCACTACTTCGGAAGAAGTCATACTCTTTAATTTGTTACAAGAATTAAGATACACAGGTTGGCTTTTCCTTTCATCCCAGCAAAGGACGGTCTATTTGACAGAGCAGTAAGGAGAAAGAACCCAGGAGTGGACATGAATAATTGATCTCACCCCACAAAGTGAAATACACTCAGGTGGCTGGCACAGGGATGTAGCCTATGGTAAAAGGTGCATGCTCTGACTACTAGTGTTTCATTTCACTAAGCAGCAACACACTGGGATGAATGGATTTGCTCACCCCTTACTGAACACAACATACACAGATCCCACTAAGAGATTATAACTCTTGTACTCTACCTTCTATTTTCAATCTCTCTGCCAGTTGTCTCCATTGAGCAAGCTTTGCCAGGGGCTCTGGGACAGCCCTTGCCAGAAGCTCCATGTTGGCCTCTGGATAGCGAAGGATGTCAAAGGCACTGTGGAGAACAAGAGTTTTTATGGTTGGAGTGAGTCACTTGCATAAGGTAGATTTACAACTGTTGCCAGACCAAACCTGTAAAGATCTCAGCATAAGCCAGAACAACTGTAGAACCAAGCTCACCTCCCTGCTATCTCCTCTTGGTATACAAAAGAGCTGTTAAACTCTTGAAGAGGGGCTCTTTATGAAAAATGAACAGCAAGATAGAAGGGACGAGGTAGGGGCAGCAAGGGGAACACAGACTGAGTTAGGTCTTAGTCATTGATTTAAAACAACAGAAAAGAGAAGGTGAGATAAAGGACGGGTAAGGGAAGCAAGTCCTCTGTGTACAAGAACAGCTACCATCCAATGGTAGCCTGAAATCAACTGCTGCTTTATCAAGCTTCCAGCAAAGCAGCAACCCACTGCACAACCATCACCACTTGCTGACACTCTCAGTAAGCACAGCAAAAATTGACAGGGCCAGTGGAGAATCCCCTTGCTTTGGGAGCCTATGTCAGCACCAAGAAATGCGGCATAGTAAACACTCCAATGTCACTTAGTCTATGGGCAAACATGAGGTATCTGTTCCCTGAAGGTGATAAAGCTGGAATCTTGGAGTATTGATGGCTTCAGGAAGGATGGAGAACTGCTGTGAAACCATGAGCCAGCTAAAGCAAGCATAGGTCAGACAGAAAGCTTCAGCTGTAACCCTTACCTGAGAGGCAACCTTCGACTGTTACTGATAGGAACTTCCGGTAGTAACTGGGACCATTTGGATATGCTGAACTGAAGGGATTTTAGTGTTGCAATTCCACCCTCTAAAGCAGCTCTCATCCTAACTGCATGTTCATATCGCTGCTGTGACACACACCCAGCTTCTTCAAAACCTGCAAAGACAGATGGTGTATGAAACAGAGGTCTACAACAAGGCAGCGCTGCTCACTGCAAGAGCCACTGCAGTAAAATACCTCTGTGGGTGAGCCTGGCATCAGCATTGTCAGGCCGGAGGGACATGCGGAACTCCACGCGGCTGGTGAACATCCGGTATGGCTCGCTGGTGCCCAGAGTGGTAAGGTCATCGATCAGGACACCGATGTAGCCCTCGGTGCGGCTGATAATGAAAGGGGGCTTGCCATGAACCCGTAGGCAAGCATTGATCCCAGCAATCACGCCCTAGGCAGGCAGAACACAGAACACATTTACTGGTCTCTTCGTGGCTGAAGTATCAGCACATCTGCCTTCAAAGACTCAAGTGTCAAACTGTGTCTTTGAAAATGCAATAACCTGTACTAGTAACCTAGGCAATTTCTTTCTTGTGATATTACTAGTGTCTGAAGGGCTTCTTGGCCCCTGCTGACAGGAGCAGAGACAATTCCCATGTTTTCAATTATATCCACTGCATAGTCTCCATGCTGAAACATTCGTGAGTCCTTCCAATTATTTTTATTACTGCAATGTCAGTAACAGCAACTGTAGATACTAAAAGTAATACTATCTGGGCAAGTCTGGAATCAGGGTAAGCAACAAAAGTAAGAACATCTCACAAGCAGAAGATGGGCCTACCAACACCATGTTTCAAAAACAAAAGTCCAGGCGATAACCCCTTTCTGAGCAGCGATCGGATCCACCCACCTGAGCTGCAGCTTCTTCATAGCCTGTAGTGCCATTTATCTGGCCTGCAAAGAAGAGGCGCTGAACAAGACGAGACTCAAGAGAAGCAGTCAGTTGACGGGGATCTAAATAGTCATATTGCACTCCATAGCCTATGACAAACAAGACAGATCTTAGAAGGTTCCTATTCATCGGCAAAGGCAATGAGTGGGGCAGAATGACTTAGGTTATCAACTTTTACTTATTTAAAACCAGCCAAGGAAAACCCCCTGCGTTCAAGAATTCATTTTGTTTCATATTTCCTTTGTTTTGTTATGTTCTAAAGAAAATCTGGTTTTTAATAACTGGTAGCAAATATGACAAATAGATTTGAAACTATTCACCCCCCTCACCTGGCTGTAAGATCTTGGCTTTTTCCAAGCCTGGGACGGATCTGATCACCTGCTCCTGGAGCTCAGGTGGCAGTGTCATCGACATGCCTTGGGGGTAAATGACATTGGACTCCAAGCCTTCGGGCTCCAGCCACACCTGGTGTTGTCGGTTTGGGAAGCGCAGAACCTTTGATTCCAGAGAGGGACAGTACCTGCAATGGTAAATAGCCATGAGCACCACCTGACATGGAGAAAAAGTAACTTGTCTGAAGCAAAGCAAGAGAGACCCACAGACTATCAGTTTGTGCCACTGAGAGCCTTGAATGATGCCATGCTGTCCTGATTTCAGCTGTCACAGTCGGGTTTTTCTTCCTTCTTCCTAATAGCTGGCACAATGCTGTGTTTTGGCTTCAGTCTACTAGCCAAAGGGGTATTCCATACCACAGCACGTCATGCCCAGTATATAAACTGGGGGGAGTCACCTGGAAGGCCCAGATCACTGCTCAGGTCGGGCTAAGCATCAGCTGGCAGGTGGTGAGCAACTGTACTGTGCATCACATGGGTTTATTGTTTTTTCCCTTTTAAATTTATATTCTCTCCCCTTGTTATTCCCCTTATCATTATGATTGTTAGCAGTAGCAGTTTTATATTATACTTTAGTTATTGAACTCTTCTTATCTCAATAAGTGGGGTTTACATTCTTTTGATTCTCCTCCTCATCCCACCCGGAAGGGGATGTGTGTGTGTGTGAGTGAATGGCTGCATGGTGCTGAGTTATAGGCTGGTATTAAACCATGACACACACTTACCGTGGGCCCCTTGTTGTCTCCCTTACATGGTTGTTCAGGTGGAGATTATCACGGATAACTTCCTGGGCTTTCAGGGTAGTGTGAGTCAGGTAACACAACAGCTGATCTTCTGGCTGAAATAGGCCAGAGTTCACTTTAATTTAACCCAGTCACAACACTGTACTCTTACTAAACAACTCTGAGGATCTCCAAGGGCTTTTCCATGACATTTGACTCATGCTTCTTGGAGAGACGGGCAGTGCTATCATACTGACTGTACAGACAGAACACAGGCAATCAGAGAACTTCAGCAACATGCCCAAAAGCAGACCAAGAAGAGAAGAGAACCTGGGAGCCCAGAATCCAAGTTCTATTCGATACACTGTATGCCAAATTACAGGATGGACGTTTCTATTAAAGCAACACATTTTATGACAGCATTCAAATTAACCACACGAATTGAGCGCTCTGAAGTAAGAGAAGTGCTGACCCTACAGTTAACAGCCAACTGAAGTTTGGTGAAGAAAACAAAAACCGAAACAGAAATCTCTTAAACCCCTGCAATTAACGTGGAAAACAAACCCCACCATGTAAAGCATTTCACTGATTTTTCTGAAAAAGTCAATAGAAGTAACTCAAAATTATTCACATTCAAAATAATAATAATGTTGCACCTCAACTCCTTAAAAACCTTTCCTACACAAAGTACTTCAAGTGATACTACTTTCACCTCCATCATGTTCATAGTAAGTTATTGCAATTCCTATATGCTCTTGGGCAAATCAACTTCTGATACTTAATTCTGTGCCATTTAACTACATTATGTAAGAAACCATCAATTTTCCAATATTTTCTTTGGAAAATTTTCTTCTGCTTTCAAGTTACTGCTAATATATCCACCTCTGAGCTCTGTGGATAACTCTCTTTCCTAGCCAACACTGTTAATGACCTCCAATTTCAACATTTTAATCTTATTCTAGAGCCAGGGTAGCAAGCAAGACATCATAAATCCACAATATGGGTCTAACTCTGGAAGTGTTTTGTAAACCACCCATATAACCAGCACATGAATACTATTACTAACAACATCACATTTTATGCAATTCTGACTTCAGCAGTAAAGCAAGTTTGGTTCTCAAGTTGATAAGTGAGAGGGAAAAGGTACTTGCTTTCAAAAGAAAACAAGCAATTTCTCCCTCTGCACTGGAGATCCTGAGAAACTAAGACCTCCAGTACAAGTAGAGCCCAGCTTCCTTTCCCACCTGATTCCGAGCATGACATTCCTATAACCACTCCCCACCTTCCCACCCAGCTCTACATGCATTTGGTGTGTACTCTCCCACCTTGATCCACACAGCCTCGCTGAGGAAGCTGAACGGCACCGAGGGATTGTCAGCTGCACGTGCCTGCAGACCGCTGAAGTCAATGGTGTCTTTGGCAAGTCGGGGTGGCGTCCCCGTCTTCAGCCTGCCCACAGCAAATCCCAGTTTCTCCAGAGTCTGAGCCAGCCCAATGGCGGGCTGGTCCCCCAGCCGCCCAGCTGGGTGCGTCTCCAGTCCGATGAGGACCATACCCCTCAGGAAAGTACCGGTGGTCAGGATAACACTCCCAGCATGTACCGTCCTCCCATCCCCTGAAACAGCAAGTTTTCAGAGATACACGTACTTCAGTATCAATGAAGCCCTGCTATTCTGGTGGTCTGTCTAACACTAGACTGACAGTGTTCACTGAGGATTTGTTTATCCACCTTCTGTTACGTAACAAAATCAGCATTTCAAGAATAAAAGTATTAACAGTAACAACTGCAATAAGCAGCATTTCTTATTCCTGCGCATGTTACCCCTAACACAGAAAACCCACCCCTTGGAAAAATCCCTATCCAGGCCTTTATTTCAGAATGCTTGTTTACTAGGACAGCAAGGGGTAATAAAGCACAAGCCTGCTAGTAATAGAATACCACTGCCCTGTAGTGCTGTCAGCAGCATACGCCACTTGCCAAGTAAAATATGCAGCATGGAATTCAGCATCACTAGCCTGAAGAAAATCAGACCTACCTAACCTCCGAATGCCCTGTCTACCCAGGTATGTTTTTCACTGTATTACACATACTGACCTAGTTTAGTTCACACTCGGCTTAAATCACCTCTATCCGCGAATACAACTTTCTCACTGGTGAATCAGAAATGTTTACCTCAAAGGCTGCTCTTAACGTAGAGGAACTGAAGGTGCTCGATGAGTTACTAGCACATACCCAGAACGACTCCGGTGACTTGGCACTTCCCAGGATGGTCTGGTTCTGGCTCTGTCAAGAGAAGATCCTCCACAGATGCCTCATGAACTGTCAACAGTGGTGTGTTAAGGATTTCTTTCTGTCATGAAAGGAGTTACTGCAAAGATCTAGTAAGTTGTGAGACATACGGGCAGTCCCAAACCCTGCTGATTTCCAAAACATCTATCACCCTCTTCCTTTTTCCATTCTCACCAGTTCACTTGACAGACATTCAGTTACTGTACTATCCTGATTTAGCAAATAGAACTTTTCATGCACAGATAAAGATTAAGCTAAACAAAAAATTTTGGTCATGAGGTCTGGTCGGTATATAAAACACTAGGAAATTTGTTAAACTATGCTGAGCTCCAACAATTTACACCACATTAAAGTACCAAACAGAAAGGTGTCCAGGTTTGATAGGAAAATATTAAAAACCAAAACAATCATTGTAGCTTATCCGGGTACTTTGGATTTGAGTAACTCATTCTAACACTCCAGCCCACAAACATGCAGGAAAAAAGCCCCTGACAATAAAACCGAGTTTTTTAAACTAACCATCACTCCTGACTTTCTCTTAAATTGTCCCGACTCCCATTTAACAGAAGCTGCCATTTCTACCAGGCTGTATATACAGATGTTCCCATACGTGGCTATATATACATGGTTAATGCACCCTTGAACAGGGTAACCTCGGGGCCCCTCACGCTACAGATGCTCTCGAACCCCCCTGCCCCGGCTGGGCCACAGCTGCAGAATACAAGCGCCGCCGCGGGCGTAGGGCTGTGGGGCGGGAGGGAGCC